GGGTGAGTTCGCTTCTCTCTGTTCTGAGGCTTTCAGTTGTGCTGTTAACTCTCTTATGTGACTATCCTCTGTTTTCTTCATATGGGCACTTAGTGCAATGAACTTCCCAATGTAGCACACAGCTTGGGAGACTGAGTCACAGCATGGCTTGTCTGTGGGACAGGGTCTAGGTGAGTTGGATCTAATGGCCACTGGGTATATAGCTGTTTTATTAGGCTCCATGTATGTTGACTAAGCTGTGGGGCTTCAGGTCATAGGGCCTCTTATTCTGGTGCAATCAGAGCTGTGTGTCTGTCCCCAGAGTGTGAGAGCAAACCATGGTTGTGGCTGGGGTTGGACTCAATAGCTGCTCAGGAACACAGGGAAATGACAGGCCCTAAAAGCTGGGTCAACATGTCGTGTTTACATAATTCTACTCCATTGGCTCTGCTACACACACTTCAAGAACAGAACTTCTCTGGAAGCAGAAACTTGTGGCTAATGTAGCGTGATTTACATCCATGCAACCAGATCAATACAGGGTTTTTGGGAAGTGTAAAAAGCAGTAAAAAAGAATGAATTGTGACTATCATGGGATACTCAAGGCTTTTTCTGTGGGAGTCTATAACAACATCTAGTGTGACAGTCTGTGCACAGGGCACCAAGATCCCTGCAGGAGCTGGAGGGTGACCATGCAAGCTACACACCCCTTCTCAGGTCCCAGGTCCCTTTGTCCCCTTCCAGGTGCCAATCACAGCTGAGAACCCAGACAGGCAACCTGACTTTGAAGTCCAAGGGGAATCCTGCAGGCCAGGCAGGGCAGTGCCAGAGACCACACCTGGACAGCAGTTTATATGACCATAGACATGCAGAGCAATGAAAATTTGAAGGGAAGAAGGTAGCATCCCCAGGGGCTCCCCCCCCCAGAGAGAGCATCCTCCTCACATGGAGAAAACTGGGATCTTGAGGGAGGGGGAGGAGGAACATGAAAACTGCAGTGGAAGCTGGATAAAGCCACCGAAAGGGAGATGCTCCAGCCCTTTCAATCTTCTCCGACTCTTGTTCTCTTTCCATCAACTACTGAATATTTTTTTAAAAATTATTTGTTCTGCTTGTCAAGACATTGAGGTGTGTCTCCACCATGGCAACAACAACCTCTCCTAATCTCCATCTTACAGTAAAGGTGAAAGTGCCACACGTGGTCCTCAAATCATCACTCTTTGCTCTACCCCCTTTCTAACCTGGTCTCTGGCCCTCTTCCTCTCCCTGCCCTGCTATCTGCTCCATCTCCCCTGCCCTCCAGTCTGTTCTTGGCACAGCGAGGCTCCCCTGTTCCTTTCAGACCTCTCGGAATGTTCCTACCATCTGGGGTCCTCTTCCACGTCGCTCGCTCACAGCTCATTCCCTTCACTACCTTCAGTTATGGGTGCAGATGATTCAGACAATTTAATCTATAGTCTTTTGTCTCCACGGTTGCTGTCCACTTGTTCCAGCTGGGGCTTCCTCATGGCACAGGCCACACTTGTAATAATATATAACTAAGTAATCAGGAGACAGCACACAGTAGACTGAGCAGATATAGTTAATACAGTGAACACTTTACACAAGTGTAAGGAGAGCTAGAGACGCTGAGGGTTCCAGGAAATCAATGGGGAACCTTGGCCAAGTCACTTGACAGTTCTGATTTTGTTTTTAGACTTATTAGATCCTTCCAGAGACTGTCACATCATCCCCATACAGGGTCTCATTCCTTTTCATTCTCCCATTAACCCTGAGTCTATATTTGGAAATTTCTGCATTGCATTACGTGTACACAGGAGAGTGGACATCCTCACTTGTCCCACATGCTTCAGAGAGTGCTGTACGGCACAGTAGAATGACGTAGGCTGCAGATCTTTCATAGAAATTCTTCATCAACTTAAGGGAGAGAGAGAGACTCTTTTTTTTCTGACAGGTTTTACCCAGAATCTTGTCAAGAGTTCCCAGCACTGATTGACATGATTCAAAAGTTTTCTACTTCAGTTGTTAAATTGGTTGCTTAAAAAACCCACAGAAGCTAATGTAGCTGAGGCTAGCCTAAAACAGTATAAAATCAAAGCTGGCTTTGAACTCCTGATTCTCCCATCTCTGCCTCCCAAATGTTGGGATGTTCACTACCACACTAGGCTTCTTTTATCCAAGTAGGAACTGCCTTAATTAGCTATAGTAATTCACAGCACATTTGGGATTCACCAGTGTCTTACTAGAAACACAGGAAAGAGGGACACAGGCACCAAAAGTGGGATCTATGATCTCTGTGATAGGCACTGTCTTCAAAAAATTATAAGAGGACCAAGAGGGTTGGCCACTCAACAACAGTCCATCTCTTGTACTGACACACTTATGCTTCAAACCGAGTTTATTCTATAGCTGACCATTCAGAGTTATGGACACACAGCTTCTCAATTAATATACGAGGAGCTAGAAAGATAGCTCACTGGCTAAAAGCACATATAGTGGTTGGTGAGGGCTTGGGCTCTATTTCCAGTACATATAGGGCAGCTCAAAACTGTCTATAACTACAGTTTCAGGGGGGACCTGATACTTTTTTCTGACCTCCTCCTCCTCTACCTGACAATCATGTAGGCCACATGTAAATGTATGAAAAAGACTTATACACATAAAACAAATGAATGTAAATGGTCTAAAATAATCCCATTTAGGGAAAAAATCTCTAGTACACTCAATGCAGGTCATCTTCCAGGTGTCATTGATATTCACATCAGACTGCTCCCCATGAGTTTTAGATGCATCTTGTTCTAGCTAATTTGATGGCAACTCAACACAGGCTGGAGTCATTTGGGAATAGAGATCCTCAACCAGGAAAGCCACACAAGGTTGGCTTGTAGAAAAGCCTGTGGTGTATTTTCTTAATTGGCAGTTGATGTGGGAGTGCACAAGGACCGCTGGGCTAGTGGTCTTTGGTGCTGTAAGAAATCAGGCTGAGCAATCCAGAAGGAACATGCCAGTAAGCAGCACTCCTACATGGCCCCAGCATCAGTTTCTACCTCCAGGTTTCTTCCCTGACTTCTCTGCATGATGGATTATGAACTGTAAACTGAAACAAACCACTTCCTTGACAGGTTGCTTTAGGATGTGGTATTTTCTCAGATCAGTAGAAACCTAAGACACACCTCAGCCCCAGACAGTTCCCCTTCTGCCTGGTGCTGTTGGAGGTGCTATCAAAAACTCTGTCCTTTGCAGTGAGGAACCTAGGAATCAGCCAGACAGAGCAGGGGTGCCCAAGCTGAGGTTAAAATTCATGGAAGTGAGGGACACAACTTGAAGTAATGGAAGCTAAAGTTGTGGAACTGGGGATGCCTGCAGGAACTGCCCCAGAAAGAAAAGGGTGGGATGAAAAGAGATGCCTCAGGGCATGAGAACGACACAGGCCAGGACATCTTCCCTCTGTCCTACCACCTCCCCCAGGTCTACCCAGGCCTGACCGCAGACACCCATTGACTCCTGAGGGCATCTACCATGAGTAGACCTCACCTTCCTGTCCTACCTTTTATCCTCCCAGGGTTATGTGCAATACCTGCCCTTATGTCTGTGAGCATAGCTTAAGAACTCGAACTTGGGAGAATTCAGCCTACTGGGACACAGGGAAGGACAGGTAGATAGAAAATGGGAAGCAGCTGCATGAGCTGCCCTTCATATTGCACACAAGACTCATGATGGCAGAACTCATCTGTCTACTATCTGCATGTGGCTCTCATTATTTTGCTAAAGGAAGAACTACACACACTACTATAGGTACTGACATAAGTGATCCACACAGTGACGTGGAAGGTATGGTGTGCTCAGCAAGACAAAGTACAAAAAGTCCTTGGCATATTAGGTGCTCACTAAGCTCTGGTCCTAAAGAGCACTGGCCCCACCCTCTCACACCCAGGGCGACAGGTTTCCTGCTCAGCAGCAGCTTCCAGGACTGGATTATGACAGCTCTTCAGCACAATCCAGGACTTGTCATAGAGTGATCATTAACATTGTTTATAGTTGCTTGGAGCCGTCCAAGTTTGGTCTACAGAGGCACAAAGGTGTCTTTGTAGAGCTAGAACCCCTCTCTAGAGATGGGGTCAGATGGGTATCAGGACATCAGGATGAAGAGGGACAAACCAGAGTTCCTGTTGGATAGGGAGCTGGGCTGAGGTCAGAAGATGAGGTGGCTAAGGCAGCTCAGGTTTGGGCTTTGGACCCATATCAGTCCTTGGCCCCCATGTGTTTCTCTTGCTTCCCTATTCAAAGAAAATTAGATTCATGGTCTCCTTTAGGGATTACTAGTTGTTAAACTGACAAGATAGGGAAAACCTTTGGTAGATCATGGGCTCTTGTGTTTAAGATAGTTGCTCATCTGTAGCTTCACAATAGGTTTTGTGTGGAGAAGGTGTGGAAGGAGCCTGAATTGTGTCAAGGAGGCCAGGAGTTCTATATGTCCTGTCATAAGGTCCTGATGATGAACACAGCAGAAGACTCAAGTATTCTTGTTGGAGATGAAACCCTGAACTACAGTGGGAACACTTCCCATTAACAGATACAGATTGGTGACTACTTTATATAATAGAGCATTTCCAGCTTCTGGAATAAAGGGAAAAGCCCGGGGTCAAGGCTCTACTCAGGAGCTTAGAATGTAATTGAGTAGATAGATGGGAATTGGTTACAGCTGAGAAGGGGAGGGATGAGGCACTATAGTGTAAGAAGTGTTTAAGAGAGCACAGCTGCCTGGTCACAGAGTGAAGCTCTTCAGGTGACTGTGGTCTCTAATGTCGCTATGTGGTCCTTCTCAGAGCAGTCCAGGTGCAGGAGCTCCCGAGCTGTCAACCCAATCCTCACATCTGGGGCAGGGCCACTGAGTAGCAGAAAGCAATGTGGTGGGCTCCTAGTGCAGAGCTTGTGCACAGGGTACTGGCGGGATTGTGTGAGGCTAAGAAGTTTAGTCATTTTCTCAGCTTCGGTGGGAGAGAAGCCAGCTTCTAGATAAGATGGCCAAGGGAGCCAAGAGTGGCTGGAGAGTGAGTGCAGGTGTGGAGAAGGAGCAGGAGCAGGAGCAGGAGCAGGAGGAAGCCAGGTCCCTCCCTTCCTGGCTGCCTATTCTCTGCTTCTGTCCCAGAGTCATTTACACACTGTAGTGTGTGTCACCCTTAAATGACACAGACATCGAAGGGCATTGTGTCTTTTATCTGCACTTGCCACAGAATGATCACCTGATCTCAACAACAATAACCTCCACCCCCATGATGGACATTCATTTGTCTAGGAGGGGTGTGGGCAGTGCCATTTGTGGCCATAAAAGGCATTCTCCAAGGAGCCATCACATCCTCATTTTGTCACCGGTGTGACCTGCCTTATCTAAAAGAAAGAGCCTGAAGATGAAGAGCCTGCTTCTGACTGTCACACTGTTTGTCCTGGTGGCTGTCCTACAAGCCCAGGATGACCTGCCTTTCCTCTCAGAAGACAAGAATGTGATGCAGGGAGTGATGGTGGACAGGGGTAGAGGGAAGGCTTGACTTGACCCAGTTCTCGAGGACTGGAGCCAGCACTCATGAGTTGTTAAGTCCTCTGAGTCTGGCCTCTAGCACTGCTCCTCGGCCTGGAATCCTATCTGTTCTCTACTGCTCTGCTCTCTCTATTGCTGCTCTACCAGTAGGCATAGGCTCCCTTGGACTACAGAGCTGGAACATGGAAGGGTCTTAGTTGCAGTGATTCCAAGAACCAGAATGTTTCTCAGGCATGGACCTTCATGCCCTGTCATAGACTCAATAACTTTGGGGGCTTTGGGAACAGACACCTCTTTGCCTTCCTGGAACACGGGTTTTCAGGCAAAGTTTAAGGAATACAGGACTGGGGAGTGGGACCAGACCATGTCAGGGGCTTCAGCCTGAGCTCTGGAATGTTTTTCAGGTCCCTGACCATGTGCTGGAGCCTAGGGGAGAACTTGGCTTGGACTTGGGTGTATAGGTTGTACAGGGTATACAGGGCTCTGTTTGTTACAGGTCTCAGGGACCTGGTACAAGAAGGCCACAGTGATTAATCTGAACACCACAAAGTTGAAGAGACCCAAGGAAGAATTCCCTTTTGTAGTGAGAACCCTGGAAAAGGGAAACATAGAGATCACGATCACTGCCATGTGAGTGTCACCACCATTGGTCTTCCCAGCTTTCCCGTCTCCTCTCATCTATGCTTTGAGTGTTGATGCCAAGCAGGTTCATACTTTAAGGGAATACCATCACAGCAACCATCTGAAATCACAGCTGCAGTTGATATGGGACGTTGAGGTCACTGACTCATCCTGCAAGCTGAGCAGAACACAGGTGTGGGCTCTGCAAGAGGCTGCTGGTGTGTTCTCTGTTTTCTAGGCTTAATGGTGAGTGCACCCAGGAAGAATTCGTGTTGGAGAAGACGAAGGAGCCTGGCCAATACAGTGCCTGTGAGTTTGTGTGAATTTCTTCTTCCATTGCCACGATAAAATTCTCTGTCACAAAGGATTAGGGAAAGGGGGTTTATTTTAGCTCACTCTTCAAGGTATTGTCCATCATAGTGGAGAATTCATGGCAGCTGGTGCTTGAAACAGCTGGTTACATGACATCTACAGCAGAAGAAGGGAATGAGGGACAATGGCTTGCAAGTGCTCAGCTGGCTTTCTCCATGTTACACATCCAGGGTCTGCTGCCCAGTGGATAGTTAAGACCCACAGTTAAGGTGGGTCTTTCCACTTCAATTTTCATAGTCAAGATAATGCACACATGGAGATAATGGCACATCTCCCAGGAGATTCTTACTTGTCAAGTGGATGTTTTTAACCTGAACTGCCACAGTCTCTCAGTCTGCATGTGATCGTCTCTCCCAGGAACTAGTTCCCGGAGTTGGAGCATCCCTGTCCTGCCTAGCTCCCATAAGAGGCTATCCAGTTGACTTCTAGGTGGCTTTAGAGGTACAGGCTAGTCCACAGAAGAGACCACATTTCCCTCTAGGTAGTTTTGTCCCTTGACCTGAGGCTTAGGATCTGGGAAGCAGGGGAGGGCAGCTGCTAAGGGGCCATGTCAAACCCCAGCCTTCATCTTTTCTGTCAATGTTAGTCCAGACTCCATACCTGGGGGGGTGACAGCTTCCTAGGAGAGAACTTTGGTCCTGTTTTCAGACCATAATACACTCAGGCTCCAAAAGATTAGGAGTTCATGGGTTATTACTAACATCTTCTAGACCAGTGGTTCTCAGTTTGTGTGTTGTGACCCCTTTGGGAGTGAATATCAGATATCCACATTATCATTCTCAATAGTGACAAAATTACAGTAATGAAGTAGAGATAAAATAACTTTATGGCTGGGGAATCACCACACAATGAGGAAGTGTATCAAAGGGTTGCAGCATTAGGAAGGTTGAGAGCCACTGTGCTAGACAGTTCCTTAGCACAGTCAGAATAATGTGTCTGGAACAGGACACTACAGACCTTTTTCTCTGTTCATCTACAGTTTGGGACTTGTATCACATATACATCTATGAACTGCCAGTGATGGACCACTACATCATCTACAGTGAATTGAATTTTAAGAAGAAAGTATATGTGGGAGACCTCATAGGTAGGACCCTGTGCACCCCACTTCCTGTATGGTCTCCACTACCAGTAGCCAGAGGATGTGCAGTAGCACAACTTGTCACAGGACACTAGAATGCTTAGCATGGAGGACTCCATGTGTGTCTAGGTTCTGTCTGAGTAGTGTGTAAGATCTGAGTGAGACAGGTCAGACTGACAGGAACTTCCAGGGAAAAGGGCAGATATGATCCTCAGGGCCATAACAACTCAGGATGGAAGTTTAAAGCCATGAACTATAGGCTGAGTTTTCTTGTCCAGACTGCCTGTTTCCAAGTAACAGGCAGCAGCTTCCCAAATAATTGACTCCGAGACTTAATATAAATTATAGATGCTCTGCTGATAGCTCAGGCTTGTTACAAACTAGCTATTACAACTATTAATCGATGTGCTATCCTGAGGCTCGTGGCTTTTGCCTCTATCCCATTTTGTGTGTCTGACTTGTTCTCCACCTGTAGCACCCTTCCTCATCCCATAATTCTTAGTTGGCTTTCCTGCTTAACTTCATCTTGTTCAGCTATTAGCCAGTCACCTAATCATAGTGACATATATTCACACAGAGTACAGAAGGATTATTCCACAGCAATAAACTGCCAAGTACCATTTCTGGGGCCTCAGATTTCAGGAAGGCCAGTTTGAAGGGTTGGGTCCTAGAAGATGCCTTTGGTTGGCAGTGTCCTTCTGGACTTGAGAGACAGATTGGTATCCCTGTGACCCAGGCTTCTTCCAGGTCAGAGTGTGATTCTGCACAGCCATTCGGGATATATACCACCCACTTGTACCTCCCTGCAGGTGTGTCCATATCTTCCATCTGCACCCTACCTTCCTGTCTTCTCTAAGTGCTCCCTCCTCTTGCTGCCCCTGGGCCAGGGTGAAGCCCCTAGTGCTGGGAGTGATCCTTGCCTTGTGCCTTGGCTGTTCGGTGCAGAGCTGTTTGGTCACAACCCTCATGCTCATCCAGCATCTGTCCCCAGGGAAGGATACTACAGAAAACCACGAGGCCCTAGAAGATTTCAAGAAATTCACAGAGTGGAAAGGCTTTCCACAGGAAAACATCTTTGTGCCTATGCAGACAGGTGAGTGGGTGGCTTAAAGATCACAATCTAGGCCACTGAAGAGACCATGCTTTCCTCTAATTACTCAGAGCTATCCGTACCCCTCCTCATGTCTTCCTGTGTCAGCCATTACTCCAAGTGACTTGTGTGTTTTTCTATGTCTGTGGTGTCTCCAAGTGTCACCATTTGCCATCCTCTTCCCTGACAAGGACAATAGAGCCATACTTAAGGTCTTGATCACGATGGCATCTGAGCTTCAGGTGTGAGATCTAGATCTTCATTGGTGTACCTCTTCAACCTGGGCTTTTCTTTGTTTCTACAGAAACATGTGTACCCATAGATCACAATGGTAAGTGACTCCTCAGTACCAGAGTTTTGTGGTCCCTCTTTGGACCCTTAAATTGAGATATGAGAGACCTTTCATATCCAGTTGTGAGTGGCCTTTCAAGGATGTGGCCCAAGCAAAATCGAAGGACACTTCGGAATCTGTCCTTTTTTCATGGATTCCTTCCCATGCCATGGTCTCCATGTGGTCTCATCTCCCATCTGACACACCCCCTATGATGCTTAGTGACCTTCCTGGTCAAGGTGGCAGGCTGTGCTTGAGGACCATGACAGGCTAGCAACATCTCCACAGTATCTGTGGGAAGGAAGTTCTCTGATTGTTGGCTGTTTCCTATGAGCCCCACTCTGCTTACTCCCATAAGAGAAGGAGGGGCCCTCACTTCTGTTCCTCTTCCTGTAGCAGCTGCTTCTCAGAGCTGCAAATCCTGAGCCAGCTCTGCACCAATGCACAGCACTGCCTTTCCTGGAGTACTCATCTCTCTGGACCACACAACAATGAGACACACTCTTCAAGACCATCTCACTACCTGTCAGACCCCACTCCTGCTAGGACACTCTGTCCCACCCCAAACCCAAGTAAAGCCTTAAGCAGCCATTCTGGACTCAGCATGTTCTTTGGAGTCTCCTGTAAGCTCCGAAAAGCTTCATGAAAAGGTTCAGGAGCTGTGGGACTCAGTAGGTACCAGACCCCAAGTTCCACGATATCCCTCAGTCCTGTAGGATATAGGATATACCAGTTCATTTGAAGGGACCCCCACTCTGACATGGCTTCAGAAGTTGTTTGACTTTGGGGAGAATTTGGGAAACAACTAGGTTGGGCACAACTGGGGAGATGGCATCCCAGATGCAAACATGTGCAGGTTCCCACAGGGCTCTTGCTTCAGTGGGGACTGTGAGATTATGAGAGACCCAGTGGTGAGTGACAGAATGGGCAGGGGTTAAGAGTACTACTAATCCTCCATCATTACCCCTCAAGCAAAACAGTACTATATACAGCCCCATTAGTCATTATTACTCACTTTTCCCACCATGTGGTTTGTCCAATTTACAAATTGTGGACACTGCCTCAAGGAGATCTGGGAGTCAAAGTATGGGAGGAGTGGCTCTGTACCTTGAATGATCCAGAAACTGCCATCTCAATGATACTTAGATTTCTGGAGGATGAGCATACGGCACTACCTTTCTCTGAGAAGCTGTTGATTTTCCCAACTCAACAGCTCTTCAGCTCCCACCCTTGCCTATTGTCCTTTCATTGTCCCTCTGCCTGGATGTGATTCTTGTTGAGGACCAGAGATCATCCTGAAAAGAAGCAACCCCTTTCAAGTGCCTGGTGAGCCTGAGGTGGTTGGACACATTGGAGGTGAGGGTTAGTCAGAACCCTATAAAACTAGTGAGCACAGCATCCCACTCTGCAGGACCACAGAAAATACGGAAGATTTAAAGGGCTTCATACAACAGTGTAAGAAAATAGTATGGAAGAGGGCAAACTCGTGGGGTCCCACCCCTAAAAAGAGAACTACAGGCAACCAATGACAACTAGAAGTAGAATTTGTCTCTCCCTGGGATGAGTTCCCAGTTGGGTTATTCATTACAGAGCAATCAGCTCCAAAAACATATGCAGCAAAGCATCACCAAACAGACTCAGCACTTGTAGTTACACATTTGTAAGCACACTCACACATGTATCTGTAATGATGATAATCAAATAAAAAGAGGCTATCAGTTTGAGAGAATATGGGGGGCACAGGAGGAGATGGAGGGAGGAAAGCAAAAGGGAAATTGATATAGTATTTTAGTTAATTTTTTAAAAATGAAAGCAGTAGAAATCTTTCAGCAATGTTAGGAAAGTGAAGGAGTTACAAAGCCCTGAAGCAATGGATCAAAAATCTGAACTGCAAAATCTAAATTTATTTGTGAGAAGTATCATGCACATCTAGAGAAATCATTATTAATTTTAGTTTTGCTGGTCATATACTACACTCGAGTTTTTCTTTGGATACTTTTAAATATGAATTTTAATGCTCTGTGAACACAGATTTCCAGCATACTGAGTACATATACAGTAATGTCAGCCAAATCTTTTTTGTATTGTCCCTTATGGACATGCCCTCCATACACCTGAAACTACTGAGCTATTCTGCTTGGAGTTTTCCTGCTGAGTTTTGAACAGAGTGAGATGGAGACCCAGTCAATGTCTTTCTGTACACGTAGACATTTACTTCCAGGTACCATGTTTTGAAGGGGCCATCTTTTTTCCAGTGTGTGTTTTTGGCATGTTTATTAAAAATTGCAGGGTTGTGGTATGGGTCTGTTTTGTTCTGCCAGTAGCATGATGAGATTTTAGTGTAGAATCACCTTAAACCTAGTCAGGTGATAGCACCAACATTGTCCGTGTTGCTCAGGATTGCTTTTACTATTTGGGGTCTTTTGTGTTTGCAGAAAAAGTTTTGAATTGTATTTTTTTATTTCTGTGAGGAAAGGTGCTATAATTTTATTGGGGACTCCATAGATTTCTTTGATAATAGAGCCATTAACCTGGTATTGATTCTGCCAATCTATACACAAGGAACCTCTTCATATACCAGTTTCTTATTCCATGTTTTTCCTTGGATTTAAAAACGTTCATTGTTTCATTTTTCACTCGACAGAAAATTTCATTTTTGAGGTCTTTAACTCCCTTGGCTGGGTTCATTCCAGGGTATTTTTTAAAAAAATCATTTGGAAACAAATGCTAATTGAAGTATTTTCTTGATTTCTTTCTCCATATGACCCCTATTGGTATGTGGGAAAGCTGTTTGTTTTTATATGTTGATTTTGTAACCTTATGCTTTTATGAAAGTGTTTATTAGTTCTTAAAGTTTCCTTGTGGAGTCTCTGAAGTCTCTTAGTAAGAGATCATATTGTCAGCCAATACCGATATTTTGACTTTTTAAATTTAAATAAAAAACAATCTTATTTGATATTTTGACTTCTTCCTTTCCTATTTGTATTCCTTTTATTTCTTGCTCTTGTCTTATTGCTCTAGCTAATATTTAAGGCCTACATTCAGCAGGGTGGAAACAAGAGGATAGCTCTGTCCCTGCTGACTTCGGTGACATTGCTTTGGTTTGTCTCTACTTAGGATGATGCTGCCTGTATGAATTCACGCCTTCCACAAATAGTTCCTTTAGAGCTATGATCATGAAGGATGGTTGTCCTTTCTCAAAGGGCTTCTCTCCATTTCAGATGATTGTGTCATTTGTGCTCCTAAATACTTCAGTGTAATGTATCCCTTTTATTGCTTTGTATATATCTGACTGGATGGATAGTAGTAAAACATTTTGATAGATTGTTAAATGCTTTGTCTAAATGTAAGTGACAATTTTTGCCTCCATGTTGATCAGGAAGATCAGCCTATAATTTTCTTGCTTGTATATGTCAGGACAATATCTGCTTCACCAAAGAGTTTTGTATCATTTCCCACCCCTTTCCTGCTTTCTGAAAAGGATTCAGGAGTGTTGTGTTCATTCTTTGGAGAATTCAGCGGTAAACACATTTGGACCAGGTTTGTTTCAGTTGGAAGACATTTTATTGCTGTTTAATCTCACTGTTGTAGAACTCTTTACATTGTCTGTGTTCTCTTGTTTAATTTTTAGTGGATTATAGTGTAGGATACTATTCATTTCTTTTATATTTTCTAATTTATTTGAGTATAAGTTTTTAAGGTATATATCATCAAGACCCCGAGTTTCATGGGTTATCAATATGTCTTCTCTTTCATCTATTGTTTTTAATTTTAGTTTTGCTTAGTTTTACTAAAGGTTGACATTCTTGATGCTCTTTATTTTATTTATCCTTAATGCTGTGGGAACTTGGCCCAGCTCTTGTTTGCATCTTGGTGGATCAGGAAGTTGAGTGCTCAGGGCAGACCCAGAGGGAGATTCCACTGACTTCCATGTCTTTTAGTGAAGTCACAGTGCCAAAGGTTCCACAATTCCCAAAATAAGAATCCCCAGAAATGACCTAACCCTGTGTGCAACATTTCATATTCCAACCATAACATCCAAGAAACTAACACATAAACACATATACTCACTCATGTGCAGTCTCCCACAGACGCACATGAACATTCAATACACACAGGCACACACAGTTACACCAGTGCACAGAAGCAGGACAATGCATTTACACCGTGGTGTGGCACAGAATGGAAGAGAAGTGAGAAGGGGGATCCCCAGGGGATTTTGTCAGGGGCCTGACTTCCAACCTCTCTTGGAGTCTGGAAAGAGTGAAGGCAGCTGTTCTGTAAGAAGATGGGTTGGGATTTAGGCACATCATAGGGCCCAGCTGCTAGCTCAGTAAAGATCAGCTGTGAGGGCATGGAGAGTCAGGGAAGTGTGCAGAACTCTCATGAGGATGGGAAACAGCAGCTAAGACTGGACATAGAGACCAGGGTGTTGAAGACTGACACCATAGCTCAGTTCTCAGGGGTCTGTGACTGCAGAACACACCTCTGTGTCCAGCACTGCTATGTGGAGAGAGGTTGGTGACTGCTCATGGAACTGGAGGTTCTGAGAGGGAAGGGAAAATGTTGTGACATTTTCTGTTGGGAACACAATTCTGTATGGGGAGGGTGGGAACATAGAAGCCCTTGTTATCCTCCAGGCTCCCCACTCTGATAACAAGGCTTCCTGAGAATGAGTGAAAACGCAGATAGGTAGCTAATTACAGAATTAGCACCATGTATTCACAAGGTCCAAACAAAACAGTGCAACCACCCTATAGCATGGATGGAGGTTTGGTGCAGATATGGTGTCACCCAGTGAAGGACATACATGCTTCATTCAGGGAGGCCAGGAGCACAGAGGCACAATCGTGATCATGCATTTGCTCCTGCTGACTGTGGTTCTGACCCTGTCCTCTGTGAGCAATCATCCTATAGTAATCCTAGATATGCTGCCACTGTTGACAAGGTGAGTATGCTGGGCTTCCATGTTTGGAATGAGAGTCTCAGAGCTGCTGACGAGAGCTGCAGATGGACATCAGTGATATGCCCTGTATTAAGACTCAGGTCTGTCCTCCAACATGGCTTTTCTTGATATCTCACATCAGTGACACCCAGAGACCAAGTGATGGTTTATTGAGGCATCTGTCTCCTCAGTCTGCCATAGAGGTCCCTGCGTCCTTTGTGAGACGCGGTCTTCTAAAATCCTATTAATTTCACATAAATGAATCTGTTAAGTTTCTGTTTCTCAATGAAAGCCTCATGCAGAACAATATGCACAACAGAGAGCTGCTGTTTGCAGAGGGCTGAGCACTGCTGGGTATGGGGAGGCATGGAGGGATGGACTTCCTAAGATGTTTAAATTATTGATGTGTTCTGAGAAGATGAGAAACTCTGGAGGTGTTCAGCCTTCCTCTTAGGCCCTGACACTGATGGATAAAGGTGC